CAGGTTGTCCATCGGGCCGTCCATCCAGGCGCCGCACTTTGTGTGTTGCAGCCATAGGTTGTCCACCACTGAGTTGGATAACGCGCCCCCAATTGCGTTCACCTATAGGTTAGCGAAATAATTATAAGTTTGTTAGCTTTATTGAGCTGCTAGCTTGGCATTAAATGTTTAAGAGTATGACACTTTAAAAGTTTGTTCATTGGCAACACAAACAAAAAAATTGACCAGGTGAAATTAGCTAAATATTATGTCCAAAGTGAACGCCTACCTGAAAGTCGTCGACTCGCTCGCGAATGTCCCCAATAATGGCGAAGTCCTTGAGCACCACGTTTTTACTGCCGCCGTCTTTGGCGTATTTGCCGTAAACGCCGACCGCTTTCGAGCGGTCAGTCGGGTGCCGCCCGGTGAGCACACTGTACCAAGGTCCCGCGCCCACCAATTGTACGTTGTCCACGATCACGTGATCGTAGAGCAGGTACGTACCGGTCGGGATGTACACCGGTTTCTTTTGCTGCGAACCGGCGTTAACCGCCTGTTGAAAGGCGGCCGTACTGTCCGTTTTACCGGTCGGGTCGGCCTTATAGTCAGCCACTGATAAGGAGCCGGCGGGTTGTGGTATAGCCGGGCCCACCAATTCAAAGTCGGCCACATCGATGGTATAAGTGGGCGATTGGGCGGTGCTGGTCACCTGTAGCTTGACCTTTGTACCAGCCGGGTATTCCTGTTTGAACAAGGTACGCACTTCCGTGTAGAAGTGGTGCGGGTGATCGCCGGGGATATTGTTAAACGGATAGCCGCCGTAATACCAGCTGTACCTCGACGTGAACATCAGGGTCGCGTACTTCGCATTATTCACGTATAGGTCTATTGGCGCGTCTCTAACCTCCTTATCTTTACCGCCAGCAGTGTCTGGTATGCTATATGTGTTTAAATTGTATCATGGTAATGTTAATATTTATTTAATGAGTTAATATAAAAGCATACTTATTCGACATTAGAGTAATTTTTAATTTTAAACTTAAATATTTTTTTAATTTGTACTTTTAAAGTGAATTTGTTTTGCAATCATCATGGTTATATGTCCAGTTAATGTAAACTAAATTGATTCTCAAAATGGCCAAAAAGTAGCCTATAATCAATATAACAGTATTTACTACAAACAACTTCACTGTAAAGCATTCATATTTACAGTATTTATATATTTAAAAATTATTTACTGCTACACAGTTTGCATACACTAAGGCGATATAATAGATACTGTAGGCGCAAAAATATAGGCAACCTTTTGGCCATTTTGAGAATCAATTTAGTTTACAATTGTTAAGTTAAAGTTAAATAAATATAACAAGTTAAAATAAATTCACACATTTAAAAAATCAAAAGTTTATAACACATGATTACGCCGTATACATAATATTTTAATACTGACCTAGTATATTTTAATCTCGTTTCAGTAACTAACCGTTTGACTAGCCATAGAAATTTGACAAAAATCTACACTTTTGGCAAGCTCATAAAACACTCAATACACACCTATATCTAACCACAAACGAATTGGCCTTGATGGGCATGGTGAACTCCACGTACTGGCCCACGGCGTCCAGGGTGACCGCCCGGCGCTGGGAGGCCTCCGACGAGAGATTCCCGTAGTGGCGATCATTGCCGATCACTTTGCCGTTATGGTTGGCGTGCTCGGCCTCCTGCTCGATGAACGCCACTTTGGCCCCACGACCCGGTATCCAATCCACGGCCAGGGTCGCCGGTACCCACAGCGCGCACACCAAAATGATCCACTTCATTTAGGTTTCACTTTTTTTAGTACTGCTCAATAAAGGGAAAAGTGTGTCGAGTGAACATGGTGCACTCTTACTTTTATACTTTATTAGTTGTTTAGCTGCCATGTACTGAAGGTTCAGTTTGCAGTCCCCTTATTTTGCTTCCCCTAATAATACCCTAATCTAAACTCTTCATTGCGAACAAAATTGATAAAATTTAATCATAACTTACAAACTGTTATAAGTGCCGACAAACAGGTAAAGTGCCTAAATATTGGGGGAAGAATCCCATTGATTTCATTATAATTAATATTACATTATTATTGGAATTAAAATTTTCACCTAGATACTCTCATAAGGCGCAGCAAGATCGTTTAATCTATATTTTAATAAAAATTCAGGAGAAATTTCCAATCCTGGAAACTCCCGGACAAACCTGGAGAGTTGCCATTATTAACTGTCATCAAGGTTTTTTACTTTAACTATAAATATAACAATGATTATTGCAAAACAAATCCACTATATAAGTAATTATTAAATGATAAAGTATAATTTTGTACCTCTAAGTGTATTATTCTACACTTGTGAGGTACATGTACAATAAATGAGCACATTTACCATACATTTATGAAATCCCAGCCCTACTGAGAAAACTTTCAATTTTGTGAATATTTTCAATATTATTCAAACACAAGTTTATAAATATTGTTTTAATCTTGAAATCATAATTTTAATTAATTTTATTTGATTAATAATGAATACAAGTAGATCAAGATCATGTGTTTAGGAAAGGTTTTTCAAAAGAATGACAAGAATTCTCGAAACTTTACAATAAAAGTATTAAAAACTGAGCTGGATTGTAAATTAAACTTGCTAAGCAATTCAGATTATTATTCTAGAATAGTATTTATATTCAATTTAATGATAAACTTACAAAAATGATTTAATAATTATGATTTAAATTAATGTTAAAATTACTTAGAAAAATACAAAATGTACTTTGTATAATACATTTACTGTATAATACATGACAGAAAAGTACCCATGTATTTTTTCACTCTACTGATCATTTATTTGAATGAGCACCCAAACTATACTCGTTTATATAATTAAACACAGGTGTATTTAATATGACATTATCTAAGCTGGAACATTTCTAAGCATTTAATATCTTATCATATATTTAGTACATATGCTACACATGTGTTCTACTTTATGTAAACTAAATATAACTACTAGAACATTAAGATCCTATTTGTGTGTAATTATAACCTTATTATAATCTGTAATATAAATCTTTAAATGAATGCTCGAGTTCATTCTAAAACTAAGGCATTAAACGAAACATATAAATTTATAAGACATTAATTGAAATAATTTATAAAACTGTTATCCCTGGGCACTTTTAATAGAGCTTTCATACAAACTTTCAATAATTTGCTACCTTTTCTGTGATAATAAAAATAATTGAAATAACATGTATAATTTACAAAACTGTTTATTAACAATAACAATACACATTAACAATATTTTTGTATTACGTGTATTATTGGATAATTATAACAAATTAATTAATTAATATAGAAGTTAATCAAAAGCTGATACGTTTGCCAAACAAATCCTTGACAATTAATTTGATGACCAAATCAAGAGATTATACATACTTTGAATTCAATGAACACAACGAGTGTTGCATTCAATCGCGACCAAAGGTTGTCCTCAAACGGCTGTCCACTGAAAAGATTCTCAAATATGACAAACAGTTTGACGACAAGTATGACCACAAACCCGTTGTCCACACGTCGTCGTAGAGCCCATCGAGTGAGACATTCATAGCATTGAATCGCAAGAATTTATGCGATATTTAAATGTCATGAATGCCACAGAATTTGCCACAAATCCCATGAATTCGCTGAAAGAGTCGTTCCTCTTAAGAGGAATCTTCAGAATCGGTGAACAAGTAGTCGATGGGGGAAGTGGTTGAACGCCAGTAGGGTTTCTTTGTTTGTATAAAATTTTATTTATACCTTATGTTCATTTACAAGGTTTTGGTTGAAAAGTTTCTTACAAGTTATTGTATACTATACTGAGTAATCAAGCATATAAATTAATTGATTACAAACTTGTACAATATACATAATTAATTTTATTTAATTTTATGCTTTCTAATTAATATCGATTTAATTGCATAGAATAACAGGATGTTAATAATAATAAGACAAATAAAACAATTATTTAACAAATGAAATAAACATTTATAAGTACATGTAAACTGAATTACAAATGTACTAATACTTTTGCTTAAATTAAACTAAACATATAAATATGTTTAGTATAACCATTTTGAACACTTAGGCAATATCTCAATATTGTTGTTGAAATTGTGTTTAATAAAAAATGTATAATCCGTTTAAAATTATATATTTAATTTTTAGTTTTGATATATTTAACAAAAATACAAATAACATTTATAAAACAATAATTTTTAGTTTATTAAAACTCGTATACATTGTGACACAACTTATGTTAATTCATCGCTCAGTATATTACATAATATATCAAAAAGAATTTACAAGAATCCTATACAAAGTCTCTGTACTTAACAAGCAATTAATTGTCTTGATTAGTTTTATATGCTTCATAATTAAATATCCAAAAATCAAGAATATTTTGAACACAATCAACGAGAATATAACTAAAAACAAGAATATTCTTCAACGAAAAATCATTAAAATAGACATTATTTTAACAATAATATGGATTATATTTGTTTGCACTAACCTATCATTCATTATATACACCACTAATTCCATTGATATAATCCGATCCATATTCTGGGCCATAAGCCTATTTGGTTGGTTAGTAGCCATACCCTTACTGCTAATCCACATCTCATATGGAATATACATATTAAAGATCCATTTCCTCAAAGACTTCTCACAACTACAGGAATCGTTGGACAAAACGCTCGCAAATGTCTTACACATCGAGAACCTCAAGGATTCAGTGAACGAATGTTTGGGAATATTCCCGTTCCTTATGTTTGGGGAACTATTCTCGATGTCATGCCTGCGCCTAACGCACCTGACCCTCAACCGGGACGTCAGTTCGTCGACATTCATATTCGTGGTTCAGGGATACTATGAGTTCCTCCAACTACTGGCCATTGAATTGTTTTACGTGTTTTCAGTCGACTATTTCCAGAGTCACAGACCGACAGTCAGTGAGTTGTTTCATACGTTGAGTCAAATGAATAGTCCGTTGAGTGGCAGTGAATTGAACGCAAAGAATATTCTGACCGAGCAATTGGTTTACAGCTATACTCGCAGTCATTACATGGCTTTCAATGTGTTTACTATTAATCGCAAGTTTTTGTTTAGATTTCTGGGTTCTGTCATTACGTTTACGGTTATGTTAATTGGATTATTGCAGACACACTCATAAATTGCAATAATTATATAATTATACTCATTTTGTGTTATACTGGAAATTGGTAAATATTTCTGTAATAATTAATTTTAAATTAAATGTATCAAGGAAATAACTTTATTCCCCATTACTAAGTATGATGAGTACGTTAACGGGAATTATTAGAAAAGTGTCTAGTACATTATAATCCATTGTTAATAAATACAAGCCGTGACATTTGGACGCGTAATCACTATTTTGGTCGTCATTGTGGCCGTCAGTCTATACACCCCTATGACGGCCAGTGATGTCACCCTTAATAACCCTATTATACCCCTTATATAAACATAGAGTGGACACTCATATGACTTTGTGTGATATATTGAGTACGTAATTTGACGAGGGTGATTGTATGCCCCACCATACCGAGATCCAGTCCAATTATTGGTTTGACGTTGACATGCACATATATAACCATGCTCAACTTGGTAATGTGCATGTATTAAGAGTAATGATGGTAGGTGATGTATTGTTAAGTATTATTATAAATTTCATTAATAAAATGTTTACATTTCTGAATAATTAAAAATGTATTATTGTAATTTATAAAATCATCTACTAATCATACTATTTATTATGGTGTCACATTATGAGCATGGTGAATTCATGATTTATGTACCAACTAACTAATTTAATATATGACTATATTATTGATTCAAATGTATTAAGGCCTATGGGATTTTTACTATAAAATGATCGTATAAATCCCATGTTAGATAATGTGTATAACAATTACACTTGAAAATTTATTTTGCTAATTGATCATCATTTACCTATTCTCTAAATCACGTATTTATCATGAATTAAATTAAACTTATTTAAATCTTATTTTTAAATTTATAAAATTATATTTTTATTAATTTAATTCAAGAAGGTTTTAAATTATTGATCTTTTCTAAAAATAATAATTACTCCAGGTATTATTAGTGTTAATACACAAAATGATGTGGTCATGATCTTACCGGACTTTTTATGATGAATTTTAAATCATCATATTTAACAATCTATTTTATAAAATCTTGTAAAATGCATGTTAAGCATATTTAACAATAATTTTATTTTCCCATAGACGTACTATGGGTTATTTTGATTATAATGCTATTTTTAGAATCATATGACATTTTCAAATATTAATAAAGTTTTTGTCCCCAATAATAACTATATTGATATTTGGTGATGGTAACATGACTTTTAAATGATATCGTTTGATCACAAATCTATTAACATGGCGTGCTATTAAAATATTCATTACACAAGTAAGTTTTTAATAACTTCATTAACACAAACCTGTATATACTTGCATCTAGGCCATAATTAATATGTCTGTATAATTTTTACAAACACAAAGTTAGTTAGTTAATCACTAATGACTTTTTAAAATAACTTGAGTAGACTGTACAGAAAGTACTGCAAATAATTAACCAAATAATTCAATTACTTATACAAAAAAATATTATTTAGAAACAAAATAAAATTACCTAGAATTCATTTACTATCTATATAAATCAATAAAATATTTATTTTCATTTATATTTCATTTATATTACATTTCATTATTATTATTCATTTCATTTGTATTCATAAAAATTGT